CTTGCATTGATTAAAACAGGGGAAGTGAGACTAGGAGTACAGACCAACTTGCTGTCTTGTAAGTGGGCTAGCTCTAAAATGCTGGTAAAAGCAAGTATATGGAAAAAAAATATAATCTTTAGCATTGTGATTCCTCAGATCTAACATAGCTCTATAAAAGTCAGGTGCTTATTCTGAGCTGTCTCCATCAATAAGAGAAAGACACAGGTCCTTGCAGAGAATGATTCATTCCTCCCTTCACAAATTTGTCTCTTAGGACAGGACCAATTACTTTCTCAAGGTGCCTGTCCATCCCCTTTGCCTGTAAAGGCAAGCTTAAAGTTACTTAGCTTTTGGATGACTACAGCTAGCTGGGAAAAAATATTCACCTCCAAGAAATTCTGAATCCTGTCTCCCACTTCCTTGGTGAGAATCCTGAGGTACCACGTATAAATATGCATAAACATGGTCTTTTCTCTGTGTTTTGCAGATCTTTGAAGCACCCATGCTGAAGTCTGCAATGTGTGCATACTACTTCTTCTATGGACTAATGATCTCCTACTACCAGAGCTGTGGAGTGTGACAATGGTGTTTGTGTCCAGTCTATCAAACGCCATTATCACACTAAATAGCTACTGGTAGACAAGACATCAATTCAGAAAAGTATGTGAACTGTAGCAGTATGTTTTCCCACCATGCTGAGGAATAAATAACCTTTTCACATGTATGTCAGGATGACTCTGCTCTTTCTTTTATAAGCAAACCCACCATAATATGTGGGAAATACATACTCTGCTACATGCATTTCCAGATTCCCATTGTAAAGCACATGAGTCACCTTAAGGAATCATCATTATAATGTCATCATTAGGAATGTCAATTTCATTGGAATCAATGGTGTTGTGATTACCTCTGAAAAACAAGGCCAGCTTGGGATTTTCTTTTTCCTGTTGGATTGACCATGACTATAGAATACTCAAGCCAATTAGCTGATGTAGTCAAACTCTGGCTCTTATTTTGGCATCAAATTAAAACATAAGTTTGGAACATTAATTGACTGAGATGCTCATGACATTTTTCAGACAGAACACTTTCCAAAATTCTGATAAAAAGCTATTACCTCTAGCTTGAAACATCATTTATTCAGGTTGCTGCCATGTGCATGGCACAAATCTAGCCACAGCAAACAAGCAGCTCTCATCACCTGATCCTGTGTGCACCCCTATCACAAGACCAAATACATATCTACTGTGTGTTTGGGGCAACACGAACATGATTCATGTGTAAGTGAGCTTTTAGTTGTATAAAAAGAAAAAGGCGGCAGGTCCTTTGTGAAAAGGGTAGAAAGGGCAAGGTGAGGGCTGGGCTGCCCCATAGCATAAGGTTGGGTCCCATCTTTTGCCTGAAAGGAGCAGGTAATGAATCGGAAAGACTGATGTAGTGGGCCAGATCTAAGACATCTGGCACAGACTGGGCATCTATAAGACCACTAAGCATTAACACTAAGAAGGGACATTGTTCTGCTACCGCTGCAAAACAAGCAACCTCAGTCACCCGTAAACACAACCAGTATCCAGCAGCAACAGAAACACTCCCAAAGCCAGTATTCTCCTGCTGTCCAAGACTCAGTAAATCACAGTAATTTCACACCCACAATATTTTATGGCAGACTCTCAGTGAAATCAGCAGAGCTGCAGGTAATTATGGCTTATTTTTCCAAAGGTCTTTGCTGAGAACAAGCTTCTAGCTGAGGGAATCTTTGTGCAGGTAAGTTGGAGGGCTGGGGTGGGCAGGAGAGCTGGAACTCCTTTCTCTGGCTTTGCAGGAGGAAAGCAAAAGTTACCTTGTCTGCAAGGCCCTCTGTGTAATTTTTTCGCAGCAGCTACTTTTCTTCTCAACCTTTGATTGAGGGAGAATGAAGAAAGTCCTTTCCCTTCCTCATCACACCTGCAGTGCTTTCTAGGGAGCCTGTACCAGTCTTGCTTGCCCTTTTCCTGATTACTGGCACTGCGATTTTTCTTATTTGAAGAACACCTTATGCTGTTTCCTTCCTCTCACGCAGTAAGCCTCATGTGCTGCTTGCCTGAGCACAATATTCATATCATATCAACAGAAAGAGCAGGAGATTAGGTCTGTCATTTTGGACTAGCTGTATGATTTGCAATGTCACCACAGCTTATTCCACGTCATTCATTCTTTTAGAGGTGCAAAACATGAATCACCACTGCTGGTACTCCAGTGGTGAAATGGCAGTACAGGCTGCCCAGCTTCTACTTGTAATGTTATTAAAGGAAACCCATTTAAAATATTCAGTCAAACATCCATCTGGGCAAACAGTTCCTAACCTTCCCCTGGTGCTCTGTGGCAGGATAGCAGTGTAGATTAATTCTCCCTATTACTTTCTTACTACTGTGCTCTTAAAACTCAAAAATGAAGTTATTTACTGAGGCTTTTATTGTAGAGCAACTTGATCTTTACAACACCCACACAACTATTAGATACACTGAAGTTTCTTGAAGAGGAAAAAAAAAGAAATTAAGGCATAATGGAGCTGCAACCCTGCAGTTCACTGTTAGGTTATGTGAGGCTAAGCTGCGGGAGTTATACTGAAAAGTTCCTCCAATAAGAATTACATACAAATTTCTCTTGCTATGTGGTATAGCGAATGGATTGGGAAATATACTGCCTGTCTTCTAATGGGGTCCTCCATCTTACATCTCCTTGAAGTGGATAAATATTCAAGGCACAGCATTCAACATACATCAGCTGCCTTCTGAAGTTGCATCCTCTGGAGACCTGGGACCAAGCAATTTGTAAAGCAGGTGTATGCATACAGACAGGGAATATGTATCACAGCGCTGCAATGATCTATTCATCCAAGACTAGTCAGTCATAGATTCAAATCCTGAAACTTAGCAGTCTGGCTTTGTTCGTTTGGAAACTTGAAATGAAGAATAATCTAACTTCTATGGCAAGAATCTATCTTCCTGCAGACATTTTGGTTAAAAGTTTCTCAATTTTCCAGTTCTAAAGAAAATTCTTCTGCACCCCAGACATATCTCCCCACATTTCAGGACCAGGCTAACTGTTTTCTATACCCACCAACTTTCTGCTTGTGGGTGAGATTGTTATTTAAGATCTAAAGCTGGAACCAGAGTCTGCAGCTGATTCCCAGCAACTGTGCACTGGTCTTCAAAACTGCAAGCTGTCTTCTTGAATCCGTGGAGGACTGATGTACTCTGATTCATTCACTGCTACCATTGAACACTTCTGATCATTCAGGTGACATTTTCAAATATACTCGGGGTTCTATTTCAAATGGGACTGAGAAGGCCAGTTTCCACTGAGCAATAAAGTTCTAAGGATCACAGACACTTTTTGGAAAAAAGATCAACTTAAAGAGTTATGTGCCTAATATTTTGTGGATATGGACCTACACTGAAATCCCTTAGGTGTTTTTGAAAAACATTACCACTGGAGCTCAGATGTTTTTTAAAGCACGTAAAAACTGCAAAAGAACAGGTAGAATTATCAGTTTATCTATAGGGACACGTACATCTAAAAACTCAATACCTATAGACCATTCATGTGATTAATTGCTTTTGAACAAGAAGAAACACCCTGTAGAAGCTTTACTGACTCCATTCTTGAGTGTTTTATCATTGTTAGTCTGTGTAATAGAATTTAAATCACAAAGCATTAGTGCTTCAGCCTAAACTACAGTGGTGCCCTATGAAAAGCATAACATTTTAAAATTGCTATCAGAACACAGCGCAATTCATTCATTCTATGTGTGCTTAAGAATATTTATTAATATAATAACGTAACTGCTAGCAGCAAGAACTAACCTCTAAATGCTCCTTTAAAAAATGGGTTCCAGTTTCTGCTTTGCTGATGTTTCTGCTGAGATTAGAATACGTATTTATTTGACTTGCTCACAAAACCCATGCTTTGGTTCCCCTATGTAAAAGGCAAAAAGCAAACTTTGGCTCAGTTTAAAACACTGTCTGTGAAACAGGTAGCTGTTTCTCCCATTCATCTAAATGGGCCATTAAATCTAGAGCCCAATGAGAATACTGTTTACCCTACTGATAATTATTATTTCACTGCTTATGATTTTGCAGATATCCACCTGATGCATATTGGTAACACAGGTATACCAAGGTAAAACCATAGTTCTACTAGGTGAATCTTTCTTCTGCTATTGAAGTCAACCGACATAAATAGGACCAAACTTTCTTTTCCCAGTCTGATTTCTTGGTCTAGACCTTTGTATGAAGTTGAGTTTAGATGTACTCAGCTTTCATTCTTTTTCAGATAGCCAGGAAAATACTTCCTGATACAGGGTATATATGTATTTTCTGTAACAGCAAGACTAAGGTGGGTAGAGTGGCTAGTTATCAGTCTACAAAGAACAACAATTATTAGCAAAGTCTTTTTAAAAAATCTGACATGAAAATTGAGACATGGGCAGACAAACAGTCTGTTAATCATCATTTCCCATCAGTTTTTGACATGCATATTGGAGCTCTTTCTGTGTCACTGTCAGACTATCTAGATTTTAAACTCTTTATATCATGATCCAGAAACGTCAGTAAGGAATTGAGGATGTTTTTGAGAGGGGCCTGCATGGACAAGGTATTCCTGCCACAGAGTTCTACCTGCCAAACAAGACAGACAGGAGGGCAGAACAGACAGCTCAGCAAGTGTGAAAGAGGATGGGGCAACAAGGAAACAAAAGGCAAAGACTCAATTCTCTACTTCCCTTAGGTACACCAAAGAGCAATCATCTGAGTACCATGACAGAGCAAGGTTTTAGAACTTGGCTTTAAAGATGGCTTTAACCTGAGGTAGTCAGTCAAGCATTTTCTACTTTTGTAGCTATTAATGTATAACTATCTCAATGTAATTGCACGTGTAGCTGAACTCAAAGGCAATGACTGAATTTTAACAGGATCATGTGACATTACTATAACTGAAGCTTTTGTTCTATTACAGAAAAATTACTGCTTTAAATCAGTGTATTGCCAGGTTTTCCTATTATCATCAGATGGACTTTCCACTGACAGAAATTCAGGAATTGTGACTCACACAGTGTTGTAATACATCAGCAATGTAATATGTCTTTTAACAAACAAAATACATTCAATAAACTCCTGAGCAGTGGAAAAGCATCCATTTTAGCTGGGTGTATGTCTATTTAATCCAAATACGATGGCTTGCTATTATATAATGCTCCATGTACACATTTACTCTGCGAGATCAATAAGAAAATGAAAATTAGCTTTTGAGTACAAATGTTAAGTCTAGTTGAAAGATGAATGAAAAACATCAAATCCATCAAAACAGAAATACAACCAGAATGTGGCCTGAGTCCTTAATTAATGCTCCATCAGTGGGCTTGGAGGACAGTTCCCCACAGAGGAAAACATTCTAAAAGATTCACTTACGCTCACTGCCAGGGGACAAGAATGTCATCATCTTTTCTTTAGAAGGCAACACAGAGCACAGAGCCTTTCATTGTATTGTGTTCCATGAACATGTGGAGCATAAACATCCTCATTCAGATCTATGGTTTCTGCTGTGCTTATTTTGGCCAACAGGTGTAAACAACATTTTCTCCAAGTTTTTGATTAATGAATAAGGAAGAAAATTATTACTCAGTCCTGCAAACCACTGCAGGGATGCAACTATGGTCACAGATGGGTGCTCCGAGAATCCATCTGAGCTTGAATTCTTGCAGGATTGAGACCTCCATCTTTCCAGACAAGGATAATATTCATTGTCTCTGTGCTGTCATCAGTATTGAACACACCAGGTAAATGCAGTAAGGTGATGTTTTTATACAGGCATGAAATATCAACGAAACTAATTCTCTGAAGTTGTGGGCGTGGGAGAGTGTTGATTTCCCAATACCCTGTCTCCTAGAGATCAGAAATATCAGGAAGGTGAACACTTAAGAGGGGAAATGGGAGCAAATTTCCTCCCCAAAGATGCTACATGCCACTATCATACTTGGTGTTTCTTGAACGACCAGACACTGTCAACTTTAGAAAGCTAGGGAACCACTTTTCAGCTCCTACGTGACAGACAGACGAGAGTACCTTAGGTAAAGTAAGGGTGGCCTGCAAACATACACACATGCACATGTGCACACATACAGTATCTGGATCAGGCAATAAGCCCCAAGTGAGCCTTCTCTATTTATAGCAGCGCATGAGGGAATTCAAGTTCAATGGCTATACCAGGCCTCACTTTTTTTATGCAGGCTTCTTACACTGCCCCTTGGCTTTGATGAGCAAGCAGCCTCATAACTGGGGGTGTTACATCATCCTGCACACTATTGACACGCATGGCTACATAAGAACTGGAAAGATCTGTGGTAAACTCTCCTTCCCATATTGGCACTCTCCATTGATGGAAACCTGTCAGGAGCAGAGCTGCTGTTGAGACCCTCTCCCATCACCACAGAAGGGGAAAGGGCTACTCAGCTAGGCCCACTGACACACAGTGTTGGCCTAACAGCACGGTCCCCTGGGCTGGGTGGCCGGCTTCATGCTAACTGCCTGGCACTGACATTCTTGCCCCTGACTGATCCAACAGTTCCAGCTGCAACGTGACAGAGCGCCCAGTATGCCCCATTCCCAACATCTTCTCTTCCCCACCAAAGCTAGCCAGAACCGCAAGCAGCAATAAGCATCAACAGAGTACAGAATTCCAGACTCAAATAAATGATGCACTGATGATTGCCAGGTGGCAGTGGAAAGTGACTTGGTGCCATCCCTATTGTGAGGTGCACTGTCTGGCCATGCACAGTGTCTCGTTCTCTCACACGCACCGACTTCCTTTTGGCTGAGAGAGAGAGGTGTGTAAACTCAGACTGGTTCCTGGTTTGAACTGAGACACCAGAACAGTGGGACTTCCCTGGGAAAACCTCTTCCCTACAGCACAGCCGGTATCAGTAAGACCATCTGCCTCATCTATGCCACATCTCCCTCTGCCTGCTGTGTTTGATAACTCCTTCAAAACTTCTGCTCTGTATACTTTTCTACCTCCATTCTCTTGTGATACTTCAGATTCTCTGCAGTAGCACAGCATTGTCATTCACCCTTATTTTGAAATGAATGGCTTCCCATCCTCAGTACATTGTAATTGTTCTGTCAAGGTTTCATTCTCAATGTCTTGACCCAGATTTCAGTCACACTCAGAGTTTTCACCTTCCTTTGGCTTTTTCTATTTAAAAACTCATCTTTCAAATAGTCTTTCATACATTCAATTTTACGTGACTACAATACCATCCTAATTTCTGCAATACCATTTTGTAGTTGGTCTCCTCCACCTAAGTTAGCAGAAAACTATTAAAAACTCAAATGCTTCAGAACAACACTAGACAACTTCATCCCATGTAACAGTAGGAATTTAAAATGCAGATGTCTGTCTGACACTTTGCTTCCTTCTCTCAAAATGGAGAGACATAGGCATTTTTTTGGCACAGTTAATCTAACCTATTTCAAATGTTTGTTTTTCAGATAACCTGCACTTTGCTCTAAATTCCATTGAGAAGACTTCCATTAACCATAAAGGGAGCCCAGGATGACAATCCTAAATGTTACATCTACATTGCAGTCAGATGAGTTTCTGTCCCTAGTGTCAGCTAGTCCCCAACAGTTTATCTCTTATTTGGCACACACTGCTTATCAATACAAAGCAGAACCTAGTCTGAAATCACTTTTATCTTCCTCAGCACTGATGGGACTCCTACACACAGGTATTGGTTTCTGGCACCACCTGCTATTTAGCAATCACACAGGGATAAGAAGTCTGACAACGTTCACTGTTTGTATTCTGTGTTAGGCACTGCAGGTTGGGTTTTCAACTGCCACCTCCAGTAAACTTGTTGCTGACATGTCCTCTGACATGCATAGCTCCCTCCCCTGGCTGCAAATCTCCACATAAGCTACACTTAAGTTTAATGGAGCAGAGTATCTTTTTTCAGTTTTGGCCCTGCCTAGGCATTTCGGATAAATCATGACTCCTTAGCAGACAGGTACTGGCCCAGGGCACCTGTCTTGTTCCTTTATAAAACAACTCTCTGCTACACAGAAAAGTCATTGTACTTATTCTAGTTGAAAATGCTGCAGGGTACTGAAATACCCTCCATATGTAATGGTTTATTTCAGAAGGTAGTTGTTTGGCAACATGCAGACTCCAAACCTCTATCCTACAACAGGATCGGTGCAAGCACAAAAGTACTGTGCCATGGGGTTCACTGTAGATCGAAGGAAGCTTGCATGGAAAGCAAGGAATTCTATGGAGAACCACACAAGTTGCTCATCTTTAAGCTGATGACATCACTTTGTGAGGACCTTAAAGATTCTGTGGGGGACAGAAGACAGATATGTCCAACCATGAATGGCTTCGTCTTGTATTAAAAGACATGTAAGTGGGAGAAAAAACTACAAGAATAGGATTATAGTAGGATTACAATATGCAAAAATCTGGTAAAAGAAACATTTTTTCTATAGCAGCCTGAGCAACAATACTGTGCAAAACTTTTACTAAGTGGTATCTTAAATATATTGATGTCTATGTAGCAGCTGAACCCACCGGGTCACAGGCAGAGACACACAGAAGGGAAGATGTTCTCCAGTGACCTGTGGTGCACTCAATGTCCAAAACTCAAAATGTGCAGATACCAACACACAAAAGGATTATAAAATAATCCAGGCAGATGGCTTAGTTTGTCTTGAAACCTTGCTCTGGTGTTAAATCTCAGGTACCAAGACCATAGAATCAGCTCCTTTCTTTGTTCCTGACATCAGCATCAGGATGACTTCAAAATAATGTCATAAGGCAAAAGACTAAAGTTATGCCCCCACCAGGTCATTGGTGCCTATCACTACATATCCTTGAGAGGAGTTTTCACAGGATGGGACAGTGCAACTCAGTGCTCTGAAGAAATGAAGTCTCTAGGGTCTCCTGCTTTCTTGGGCACTGTTTTCTTTATAGTCGATGAGTTTGGTAGATTTTTGCTTTTCATGGATGTTGCTTTCCTCTGTTTTTGATGAGTGGTTCGGAGAGATTTCAGCCCCAGCATCTCACAGTACTTATTGCACTGGTGGAGGGCTCTGAACTGCTCAATGAAGGAAATCGAGCAGTTGCCTTTAAAACCTTTGTATCTGTAGCAACAAAGAAAAAAAAAAGCCAAATGGGATTTCAAGATTCATTTTCAGCACAGGGAGGCAGGGTATGGCTGTTGACTCATAAGCAACTTGAAAACATTAAGCAAGTCTCTTCCATCCATGCTGTTTTGAGAAGCACTAACTCTGTCACAGAAAATCAAACTGAGCCATCAAGACGTGAAGGAACCAGGCAATAAGTAGCAACAGAAGAGGGAAAAGGGTTAAAGAGGCATAGTTCTGTGGTCTGTATCCTGGCTACTATCTTTCATTTCATTTAGTTGGGAATATAATTGTCTGCTGGCTTATTTTGTCTCAGTAACATATAAATGAAATCCATTCTACATCTATGAACAGTTCTTTTGACTACCGTGAAGAGACAAGGTTGCTGCACAAGATATTGTCAGAACCAGAAGCTGTTTTCATCCGAACATGTACGTAACTTCTGTGCTACGCTCCTCCCTCACCCAGGCTTGACTACAAGATCCCAAGGAGCCAAGCCTCTTGGGGAAGAAGGATGTAACGAGTGTTCCTGAGGAAGGCAGTCTCATCTAGCCTTCACAGTTCCCAAGCCACCACCATATCTCCCACTGCTACCTCTCCCTTCTTCAGTGGGCTAAGCAGAGCCAGGGAGTAGGCAGAGCATGTACATCCCTCTTCTCCTCACCCTGCCACTGGTTGCTGACATTCCTTCTGGTGCCTGCTTTTTAAGCTGCATCAGCTTTTTTTAAAAGCTGCACCTGCTTTTTAAAGGAGTAATTTTTGGTCAAATTACCAGGATGGAGAAGGGAGAAGAAAGGCCAGGGTGCTCCTCTCCTTTTTTGGTAACCTTAAAAAGTGCATGTTCTACCCTATTCTCTTGGTTCACTGGACACACAATGTCCTCAGCTGTGAACCGTGAGTTATCACTGCACGAAAAACAAACAAACAAGATTTAGCACTGAAATTAACACAACATGCTCATTGCACAGCATTCCAGAGAACTTCTTTCCTCATGCAGATTGCATAGTGCTAAAGAAAACACTGTTTCTCTGAGGCCAAACTCTTTCTGACCATTCTGTGCTGTTAGAGCTTGTGGTATGTGTAACTGGGGGAAGGTCTCCATTAGTGAATGGCTTCTAAATTGTACAGTCCACATTGCACTCATATGTTTTGTATTCAACAACACCAAACTATTGACCATTCCAAGCCCTGAAAAATATGAAGCTGTTATTTTGCACTGCATGCACTATTCATTCACTGACTAGATGACTGATAAATAAAACCCAGACAGAATTCCATCTCCCAAACTTGACAGTTGGGGGTTGGCCCAAACCAAATCTTCCTTAAATCTGAAGGGGGAATGTTGGATTTGTCCCCAGGCTTAAACTCCCCAATGCCTCTTTTTGCCATGTTGAGCAAAACTAAATTTGTCAATGCCCTGAAACCAGACAGACTTTCAGATCCACATTTGGCAAACAGCCCTCCTGTTAATCATCATGACCACAGGTCACTGTGTTCCTCATTCCTTCATCTTTGTGTTTACCATTCTTGGATAAATACCTGGGCACTTGTGCACAGCTTCTAAACTGGCTCACTGTTTGCACTTAGAAGCCAGTCACTGTGTTGTATTATTTTTGTTTACATTTGCCAAAGAATCTACTAAGTAGCTTATTTAAAGGATTGATTGCCTGACTCTGGTGCGCCCCAGTGGCTACATTGAAAACACATTCCAGGCTTTTCGGTTTCTAGTTAGGCTTTGCCCTCTACTGACAGAAACTGTACTGCAACTACCTCAGCGCATTGCTTTGGGTTCGTTTGGTTTCCAATTCACTGATAAAACAGACATAAATGCTCATCCAGAAATATTTGTTCAGACTTGGAATATGAGTCTGGACCCCCGAAAAAATCATTAACAGCAATGAGCAATGCTGAATATAGGTACAACATTTTAATATATGCTGTTTATTGTGCTTGGTTTACAAGAAACACTAGGGTATAAACAATGGCCGTGAATAATTCATGACAGTTGCCATATTGGCTTTTGTAAATTCATCAATAACAGTTTGTACTATGACATTAGATTATTTGAAAGCTTGATTATACCATGAGCATGGCGGGGGTGTGGTGGGGGAGATGGATTTTTTTTTTTCCAGGTTTTTTTTTCCCCTGATCACAAGTTTAATCTTAGAGTGAAATTAGAATTGTATTTAATTTACATTCCAACCAGGAACAATATGAAGGTTTTTCCATTCATCGAGGATCACAGAAGCATTTCCCAAGGATATTTTTGGTTTGCCTTGATGTGATTGGCCCAGGCTTAGAAGAATTGGAGGCAGAGGACCTGTCTGTGATCACTGAGGTCATTACCTCTGCAAAGAGTGGTTGAGGAAACTATGGGAATTTCTGTTTGCAATTACACCAAAAATTACACAGCTTTGTATCTTCTCTAACAATACAGTTAAAATCATAACAGTATCATACTATATTTTTTAGTTAAGTAGGACTATGTATGTTCTCCCCAACATGTGGGATAGACAATCTCTCATCAGCATGGCTGCACACTACCAAAAGCAGCAATAGCCAGTAATACAGATGAATTCTGTGTACTCGTTTGTTTTCTGCATCCAGGCTCGTGGAATTAAAAATCAAACTGCAGATATTAATGCAGAGGTGACCATTCTGGGAAAGGAGCATGGAAGAAAAATACAGGACCAGGAAAAATCTGTTGTCCTGTAGCAATATCATTAGCTAAACGACAAACAAAATGATACTCAACATTTTGAAGACATTGTTCATGAAGGGAAATTATATTCCCTTATATATGACTGAGGTGATCCTTACTGCAGCTTGCATTGCATATCCATTTTCTCACTTCACCTTCCTCTTCCATAGTCCAACATGTGTTTTTATAGGAGTAATTTCCCAGAATATTCTGGTGTCAATTTTTTAATAATTTAAAAGATATTGTAAGGGTTTTTTCCTGTACCACGGGTATATAGACAAGGTCCAGTTTAGTATAAAGACTCAATACATGTGTTTGGATCTGCTTTTTTCTATCAGTTTCTCAAAAAAGAATATGAATTTAAAGCATTGGTCACAGGCATTTATCCCCATCCCCTTTCTCTTTCCAGCAGCCAGCTGATTTGAATGACTGCCTACACTGCCTATTTCTATCAATGGCTCTTTTGGCCTGTGGTATAACTAGAAGCTTTAATTATCAGAAACTTAAGAGAAATGGAAGAAAGTTAGAGCGTTAAAGACCTATATCTTTACACACATGCTTAAGTCTCCTAAAAAGACCTGAAGCCATTGCAAAACTACTAGGAAACAGGCCTCTCTAAATATTATGAACAGATCTTTTGTTTTATCTCAGAATT